TCATTAACGCTTTTCTCTTCCGGATAAGAAAGATGGGTAATAAGTCGCCAGGAACGATCTAATTTTGGCACCAGTCCAAAAGCGAAATTCTTAAATTGTTCACCGGTGAAACCTTAAACGGGACGGAGAATCTACCAGGTATAACCGCATTATTGATTCTTTGCTTTAATACTTGGGAATTTAATTTTGCAGATTTTAAATTTTGGCCTCAAGCGAAACTCGTTGCCCAGTAAAACCCAGACGAAAACCATTAAAAACAACCAATAATATTTCCACGTCCTGCCTATTTGTGTAACCTAATAAATAAGTAATCAATAAATGTACATGTAAAGGCGATTTCCCTAAATTCAAATAAAAGTTAATGCCAACTGGTGACAGGGTGCCATGGTCTAACATCTGTGTAGAACCTGGGTCCGACAAAGTGCTGACCCTTTAGAGAAGTGGCTGTAAGTAGTCTCGGTCCCCTAACCTGCATTCTGTTAGAAGAGCACAGTTTAAGAGGGTGGTAGGTACCGCAATTTAAACAATTATGTCTGTACTGACGTGACATTTTAGTGCACTGTCTTTAGTGAAAATCAAAACACTTTTTGTGCTTCTTTGCATACTGATCCAATAAATATTAGGAGATGCACTAATGTATAAAAATCAAAGCTCATAATCTATCTTGCCAAGGCGCAATCTAAACTGTTGGTCATAAGGCTTCATTTTTTTATAACAAAACGCCTGTATCTGTTTATCACTGACCTGATCTCATTCGATCGTAGAGAAAAAGAAAAATGTAAGACGGTACACCGGATACTGTAAGCAAGGCAAACTATGCCGGTGTAAATTATCGAACTCCAATAACTCATGACTATCAATAAACGATAGGAGTTAGAACTTTTCTTTGACAAACATTTCCTTCGTGAATGTCATGATCTTGCACAAGTTTGTAGTAAATTCATTTACAACATTTTTTGTCTCAGCTCCGACACGCTGATCGATTACTTAAATTAAGGTATTAGGACCCTAATGTGCACTATCAGGAACTAAAGAATTGACATCATAGGTCAGATGTATACCTTATAGTACACCTGTATGCAAAATTTAAACAAAGTTTACCGTACGGAAATCAAGTTATGGCCACTTTTCTGAACTCAAGCTAGGATGTTATGAGGGCCCTTTTTTAGAAATGAGAAACCTTTAAATAATCTGCAATAACATTCTAATGAAAAATGTTTTCCCATGAATTTTTGGTAAGAAACAAATAGTACCATTCAGTTAACAATCCACATAAGCAAAATTATGGTTTCTACTTAAAATTTATGAAGTCTGTATAAAAATGTTACCCTACCCCACCCATTTTTACCACATGTCTGACCATTTTTCTACTTAGGGAGCCTAATTCAAAAAAATCTTAAAATTTACCCAAATGAGTGCCTGTTTTCAAAGTTTCCCTAAATTTTTAAAAAAGTATATTGCTTGATCTTGTAAAATATGAAATACTTTTACCGTCTAGTTTTGATTATATTACACTTTGAAAATATCAGGTACCATATTTATTACTAGATTTAGAATAATTTAGCCAATAAATACCTATATAAATTAAAAATTCAAAATTAAACACTTTTTTCTTTCCATATGGGACATGAGAGATACATAAATAATGATAAAAGAAAAAAAGAAAGAAAAAAAAGTTGACCCTTCTGGGGATTGAACCCATGGCCCTCATTTTCAATGTAGTTAGCAGTAATTCTAGCCTATTTGAATACTCTTCAAAGCGGAGGTAATGCATTAGGGTGCTAATACCTTAAATGAACTTAACTTCTTGCGAGTGAGTCCGTGTATGTGCAATGTTTATTTTTTTATGAATTTCGGATGTTTTGCAAATATCCTATTTGATCATGTTCCATTTAAAAGTATATGAATTATTTCAAATATTAAAGCAACATGCCCCATATTCATGCTAATTTTTATAAAAAATAAAATAAAAAATTTACATGTATTTTCATTTTAAGCATTTTTTTTTCGTTGCAATAAAACTTTTGGCAGTCATTCAAGTAAGAAAGTACTATGTACAAGTGTTAGTTCATTTATTTGTAATGCATTTAAGCTATTCATAGACAATCATAAAGTATTCAACATAACAATACATTATGTCATATTTTATCTGTATTACGTATATTGATCCCTGGGTGAATAAAGACAGTTGAATTGAATTGTATACAATACCCTATTCATTTAGCGTTTACTTAACAACTGTGATTAGAAAGTCGTTTAACAAGGTAAAGGGTATGAATCATTTTCCATACATGTCCTCTTTACTATTTGTTTACTTCACATACTCATGTTTTGGTTTCGATTATACAAGCGCATACATGTTAATCGTTGTTAAGGTAGAGATACGCTTTGTGCATGTTCCTTTTTTAAAGCTATTATTCAAATATAGATTAAACGGTTTAACTGTAAAATGGAGTTCAGTATTGTATATTTATATATTTTAATTATTACGATTTGTTCTAAGAGATTCCAGGTTCAAGGCGACACGAATCATGGTCTTGAAAAGTTACATGAAAAGCCTTTGGACATAGAAAAAAGGTACCTACGATGGAATAATAATGGATATTTAGTTCCAAGTCAAGGTTCATCTTATGAAGTGGTGTATTTACAGTCTCATCCCGCGAATGTTGCTGTAAAGAGTGGTGTAAACTACATGGCATTCACCCTGTACATGAGGAACGGGCGAGTAGTGGCTCCAAACACAGGAATATTTCACTTTATCGATTCCGATATTGCCGTGGAGAATATACATCACTGTACAAGAAAAACTATGCATGCTGGAGCTTACTATCATTTTTATGGCAAATGTCCAGAAGAAGAGCAAATGATTGTAGCATCTGGATATTGTTATCAAGGGTCAAACGGACGAGGTCTTGTCTATAACTCTATAACGTTCAACAGTGTGGCAATGACGTACGCCGATGGACGATACTATCTCAACAACGAGGACAGGACTGTTCATCCATACGAACAAAACTTGATCAAAGTATGTTTCAATAAGTGGAAAGACAGCGGATTTCAAGTAAATTCGTGGACATGCTCTACAAGGAATATTCCGTTTGCGTCAGGACTTACAAGTGACTTTGGAAAAAGATCCAAACGTGCTTCTACGTCATGCAATAACTGTGAGTGTATTCCCGTGAATGGATCTTCACGAATGGAATACTTTGGTGTGCTGATAGTTTTCACGTGTTGGCTTGGCGTTAAAATTATGATGCATTGGTAAAGTTATATGGCAGATATTACAACGCAATGTTATATGATTTTGTAAAAAAAAAGAATTTTCCTAAATGCTCTTATCTTAATGATATACTCTGCTTGTGTAAAATATTTTTATCATAGAAATTTATTGAAATCTATAAAAAATTTACTTAAAATATCATATTTGATGACAAGAATGAATAATTTATGTATGGGAAGCTGCATTTCCTGTTACGGTAGATGTAAAATCGATTCTTTCTTAAAAATGACAATATATTTTCTTATCGTGACCCCTTATAGTGTGTAGAATTTTAAACATTATAAGATATCTACTTTGTGTGAAGCCAAATCGTGTTTATTTTATATTTACAAAGAGGAGCAATTAAACGTGTACTAATATTTTCCTTTATTAAATTTGAGCATAGTATATCTTTAACACTCTATTACTTAACTATCTTTAAAATTTTATTTCGAATGTTAGTTGAGAGCAATCATTATGGAGAGTTTTATTTTAATTTTGAAATTATTTTTTTAAGATTTGTAATTTTTCTTAAAATTGTCATGTTTCTTGTATTCGCTATATAAATGCGACAATTCTAGTATTAGTTACCAAAAAACCTGCGATTACAGTGTTTTAACAAACTATGTATTTTAGTTAAAATGAAAAAAAAATATTTTCAATCAAATCTAGACATCTTTTGTACATGCCTGCACATATGGCTTTCATAATTATATAATGCTAGTTGTACCAGTCATTTGAGGAAACACTGTATTCTTCACCCTTGCCTTGTGGTATAAGTTAAGCAGCTAAATTGATATAAAACAAACAGTCTAACACCAGACACTGAAAAAAGAAGTTATCTTTCGAGAACAATGAATACAAATGAATACAAAGAAAAATAGATGACAATATACTCGTATGGTACGAAATATTTCTAGAGACAACTAAACCTATATGGAATTAGATAAAAAATAAAACCATTTGTAGTTGTTAACAGACCTATTTGTAAACATTTGATATTTTTGTACATTACTTTATAGAACTTTTAAAAAGGGGTCAATCTCTCCGTCCTCTTTGCAAAATTTTTGTGTTTGCGTTTTTGTGTGTGCGTGTGTGTTCTTTCTACAACTGTCACTTTTAGATTAAATATTTTATATCTAAACATATTTTGCAAGGTGTCTTCTTTTTTACGTTTTATAACTGTAAAACGAATTTTCTTTGAAATGGTTGAAGCTAAATTTATCAATAATAGGACATGAATATAATTTTCATTCTGTATAAAGGGCAAACTAATGTTTTAAAATGTTGCAATAATTCATTTAGAAATTGTATGATTTTGACTTCGACCCAAAAAGCCGTACTTATTGCCAGAACACAAAATAAGGTGGTTCAACTGTATAGGACTTACAATAAAAAGCTTTTGGAAAATAGAGAAGAATACCATTCTTAAGGTACAGTGTGCTTTCGAATGACGACTTTGGCAAGAGGTTAAAGACTCAGACCTGTGAGCTTAGTATCTATAAGCTTGTATAGCTTCCTAGACAATCGAACTAGAACAACTTTTGTGCAAACTAAATGGTTTGCCAGTTCTATGAAACTGTTGTCATATGATATTTATCATGGGACGGACATTCAATTTGACACTCTTGTGCCAGCCTATGAGAATCTACATTATTCCCCGACGATAGATTAACAATGAGCGGTGGCTAGATTCAAAAGTTTCTTCTGACAGATGTTTTGAAAAAAACAATTATCTGTCCTAAATTTTATTTTCCTGTGAAATAAAAAGCGCCAAATACATTTTCACTTTACCAGTAACGTAGAAAAAAGTATGTGGGAAATCTAATAAAATAAACATAGATGAATAATAAATATACGAGTACATAATCTATAGATTTTGTATAAAGCATTGCTATATTGACAAAGAAGAGGTAACATTATACATTTCAATACATTACAATAATTTGTGCTATTTAAATAATACAAGCCTTTATGACTATACAATCGATTACAAGTAAATGTATGGATTTCTCACTTGTTCAAAGAACGCTATGTTCACAACTTTAAATTACAAACAGTTTGAAAGGCTACAAATACTCTTGGTTATAATCATTTCTAAAGATAGTGATCTGTATATTTGTTGATCTAATTGGAATTTGCTTGAGAAAAATATGAAAATAACGAGTTAAGATATTCACTCTAGTTAACGTTTATCAATGTCACTAATACGGAAGTTTAAAGGGAGACACAGGCAAAATTTTCATTTCTTTATTTTGAATATTTCATTCATGATTCATGTTGTCCTCAAAATAAATGCACAAAACATTGTTACAGGAACAAATCTTTTCTCATTATAAAGTATTAAATGATGGTTTTCTAACCTGACCCACGTGGGCCAGGTTTCAGCGTTAAGATTTCACAATAATTGTCACAGTGAAATTTTGAAACGTTACAGAGTATGTCAAATGAATGACTTAGACTTGTTTCAATCAAACAAAACCCACACTATCTGTTATTGTAACTTCAAGTGTTTGTTCAAGTCACAAAACTTGTTTTAAAACTACTCGATGATTCTGTCGGCTTCTAAATTTCGTTTCACAGATATAGATATATTTCAAACCCAAAATGTATAGAATTTAATACAGAAATTCATGCTGGGATTTTTAAAAAAAATGTCATTTTAGTGTTTTGAGTTCATAAGATGATTTTAATTTTTTTGTCATTAATTTGCCTGAGTATCCCTTTAAAGACCCACGTGTAACCAGTTTAATTCTAAGGAACAATAAGCTTGCAAATAATAAGAACTTTTGGTTTAGATCATTTCTAAAAATATTTATCTGTAATTTGTTCCTATGGATGTGAAAATGATCAAGATTAAAGTATTCATACTGGCTTACATTAATCATTGTCATTAAAATATTGTTTTAAATGTTTATTTAATCATATAAAGTCAATGAAAAGGTCAACAGAGGATACATCGGTAAAAAAAGTGAAATTTACAGACATAATGAAAGAAATGAAGTTAAAAGACACTGAAAACGGAGTTCGAACGGTAAGTGTTAGCTTTGTTTATAGCTTGACATAACTTTGGTATATTATTATAGATCTGAAAAACCAGCGTGGCAGTTATAAATTTGATAAAAAAATTATGACAGATAACTTATAATACACGCTCTTTTTATATATTTGACATACCGCTAGGTCTATGTTGAAACCTCTCCTGTGCATCGGTCGAATGTTTCATTATCTCTCACTTTCTGTCTGAAGTAGCGCGGGTGTATTCAGTAAGCTGCGAAGGGAGCGTAGGTGAAACTGTTCTGTTCAGTAAATAAAAGATGATTACTAAACAAATAATATTGCTTTGTCTTTAATGCTTAGTTTCAATAATGTTTACCATTAAGTAATGACAAAAATGACCCTAATTATTTGAGTTTTATTGTTTATTTTTCAGATATCTTAATACTACAATTATAATGAACGTTGAATGCCATAATCACGTATATCTCTTTATTATTTATCCGTTTAATGAATAATTGTTAGATTAAATCCAAAACTTTATCAATTCTTACATTATTTTTTTTTATCAGTTTCAATAATAAAATGTTACTATGTTGAAAATTTACACCATACAATTTAGAGGCAATTTACAATTTTTACGGCTTGTCAGCTCAATAATATGTTCGTTAAAATCAAATCACACATGAAAATCTTTAGTTACAATCTGAAAAAAATGTATTTCATGATAAGCAAACTTATTTGTATCTCATTGCAATCAATTAAAACTATATTCTCAATTTTGACATCCCTCGTTGTTTGTTCGTTTTGATCGCGAAAACCTTTCGAGGAAAATAACTTAATTTCCATGTCATTGAATAGTTTCTTTCTGTTTATAAATCTTATCAAGAATATTTAGAAATTTACTCACCGTAATTGATTTAGGTTTCTTGTATGTATTATCTGTAAGATACCTTCACCAACTTCAGGTAGTCCAAAAGATTTAAATGATGCACAAGTTGATTCATCGAACGGGACTCGAGCATTTCCTCCTGCAATAACGGGAGGTGTCGCATTAAACGGGAATCGAAACTTAATGAATACAAATAATGCAATAACTAAAGATGCATTCGAAAAACCTGGGACTGACCCTGTATGTTCAGCTCCAATGTCAAGCACTTGCTGTTTCCGGGAAAGAACAGAACTGTTGCAAGACATAAACATGTTCGATCCTGCAACTTTGAAAACGGTGCAGGTTGTAAGTACTTGTACAAATTTTTCATTGTTTTAACTGTAGAATAAGAAAAGCAACTGTTCGTAATTTTAGAAATAAATTAACAATTACAATATTTGTACTAGTGTAAGATTATTGTATCAATTTACCCTGTTATATCTCTCAAGATACCAATTACAACAATAGTTCGTAAAATGTTTGTTCTTTTATTCAACTGTAAATGCTTCATCACAATACCCTCATTTCTTCTGACAGCCGCCAGACAGCTATATATATTTTTTTAATTTCTGTGTCATTTTTGTACCTGTCAATTACATCGGTTTTTAACTTCAGGCTCCCGTAAAAGGAACATATATGTTTCCTTGTGAATCATATAGGATATTTAGGGTATATATTCAATTGTCCATGTGTACTTGTGAAAATTCGTCGATGTGTCGTGTTTAAAGCTAAATATTAATCGTCACCTGAATGCAATAACTAAATATGTGTTATTAAAATTAGGAGCAATTATTAAGTTATTGCACTAAAGTTACGATTTGTAAGCTTTAATTATGACCTACCATTTTCCTGGTATTAGGGAAAAAACGAATACACATTTTGATAACGAATACTTAATTTCAAGACATGAAAAATAAGGTTTATGTTTACTATAACTGAAATTCTTAATATCTTCTAGCAATTAATATATGTATACTTACCTTTCTGAAATTGTATATGTTATTTGTGGATAAAGCGTTACTCATTGCAACCCTTTCATAACTAAATCGATTAAAAGAATGATTAATCAAGAGCTGGAAAAAATATGATCTCTCGGAAGAATTAATCACAACAAAATTACATAAGGGATTGTGAAAAAAACATCCCTCGCTGCCCCTAGTGTCGGCTTGAGCGGTAATCAATTTTCAAAATTTAACAGTTCTTGGGCAACCTTTTGCAGCTGCCACAAAGGCCGCTGTTGTGTAGCAGACAAGAAACATTATATTACCGAGTGTACTTAACGAGTCAAAAATTAAAATTGGATAAACATTGGCATAAAATAATTGCTTAAAATTATGTATAAATCACATATATAGGAAAGGGAGGAAGCATTGCAACAGTGTTGCAGATAACTTTCGAAATACATGTACAAAGAAAATATACTTGAGAATGTGGCTAATTTTATTACAATTCCAGTTTTATTACAATTCAGGATGTAACAAATCTTCCTATATAACTCTCTTACTCATTTATTTATTGAGATAAAAATATTTACCGAGATAGCTTCATATTCAGTATTAAATTGTAACTGCACCAAGCTTAAAACACAGTATTTAAATTTAACCGAGTGCAGTCTAGAGAAACTACGATGACATAAGTAAAACTGCAACTGGCAACTCAGAATTAATTAGAGCTATACTTGTACATAATAATAATCAATAAATGCTTTTACACTGTGTGTTGTTTAATAAAACAGCTATATAATTATCATTGCAGCGACTGAAGTAAAGATTGTGCTATAAACAAATATTAAATCATTAAAATGCATTTAAGCTATTTATAGACAATTATTATGTTTTAAGATTATATCATTACAGTACATTTTCTCATATGTTATCTGTATACAATACCCCTTTCATAATGTGTTTACAATTGTGAATGATAAGTCATATATCAAGATCATAAAAATCTGGAGACAAAGTTATCCCTCAGGGATATTAATCACAACAAAATTACAAGAGAGTTGCAGACTCGTTTTGATTGAGTCTGTACATGAGGGATAATGAATACGTGCAACATCCCTCACGCCCCCTAGCACCGGCTTGAGCGGTACTCAATTCTCAACACTTAATAGTGCTGGCATCAATGATCCCGAAGGATCATAAAGGCAGTTGGAATGTTTATAATAAACTTATATTGATTTACATTCTGAAGAACATAACCAGTTAAACTGAAATAGTCTTCTAGAATATCTGGATTATCTATTTCTTAAACAACCATTATCGGTACTGACAATACGTTAAGTGTCAGTGAGGTTAATATTAACATT